TGGATCAAGCGAGGCGTGCGGTGTAGGCGATGTAGATAAACAAGCGAGCGTGCGTGTGTACATGTAAGATATACAAGCGAGCGTGCGTGTGTACATGTAAAGCGAAGCGTCGTGTGTACATGTAGGATCTACAAGCGAGCAGTGGGTGGTGTACATGTAGAGTATACAAGCGGCGTTGGTGGGTACACATGTACAAACGCGTAAGCGTGCTGTTGTACATGTACAAGCGCGCGTGCATCGCTGTTACAATGGTACAAGCGACGCGTGCGTAGTCGTACCATGTTAGATATACAAGCGAGCGTGCGTGTGTACGATGTACAAGGCGAGCGTAGCGTGTGTACATACATGTAACAACGAGCGTGTGTGTGTACATGTAGCGTAATAGCAAGCGAGGCGTGGGTGTACATGTTCAAGCGAGCGTGCGTGTGTACATGTACAAGCGAGCGGTGCGTGTTGTACATGGTACAGCGCAGCGTGCGGTGTATATGTAACAAACGAGCGTGTGTTCATGTATGCAAGTGGAAGCAGTGCGTGATGTACATTGTAGCAAGCAAGCTGTGGCGTTGTGTATCATGTAGATAATACACAGCGAGCGTGCGTGAGGTACATGTACAAACGAGCGTGCGTGGTGTAGCATGTACAAGCGAGCGTGCGTGTGTAATCATGTACAAGCGAGCGTGCGTGTGTACATGTACCAAAGCAAGCTGCGTGTGGTACATGTAAAGATATACAGCGAGCGTGCGTGTGTACTTACAAGCCAGCCGTGCGTGTGTACATGTAGATATAACAAGCGAGCGTGCGTGTGTACATGTACAAGCGAGCGTTGCGTGTGTACATGTAGATTACAAGCGAGCGTGCGTGAGTACATGTACAAGCGAGCGTGGCGTGTGTCCATGTAGCAAGCGAGCGTGCGTGGGTACATGTACAAGGCTAGGCATGCGGTGTGTACATGTACAAGCAGCGTGCGTGTGTACATGTACGATATACAAGCGAGCGTCGCGTGTGTACATGTAGATATACAAGCGAGCGTGTGTAGCATGTACAAGCGAGCGTGCGTGTGTACATGTTACAAGCGAAGCGTGCGTTTTGTGTAACATGCTAGATATACGCAAGCGAGTGTGCGTGTGTACATGTAGCCGCGGAGCGTGCGTGTGTACATAGTACAGCGAGCGTACGTGTGTACCATGTAGATTATACAAGCGAGTCGTGGTGTGTAGCACTGTAAGCAGAGCGAGCGTACGTGTGTACAGTAGATGATAACAGCGAGGCGCGTGCGTCTGTGTACATGTACAGCGAGCGTACGTGTGTACATGTACAACGAGCGTGTGTGTGTACAGTAGAGATATCAGCGAGCGTGCTGCGTGTACTGTTAGCAAGCGAGCGTAGTGTCGTAACATGTACAGCGAGGCGTGCGTGTGTACAGGTACAAGCGCGAGCGCTAGTGTGTACATGTACGACTATACAAGCAGCGTGCGTGTGCACATGTACAGCGGAGCGTACGTCTGTACAGTACAGAGCGACGTGTGTGTGCTTACATTGTAGATATACAAGGCGAGGCGGCGTGTGTACAGTGTACAAGCTAGCGTAACGTGTGTACATGTACAAGCGAGCGTGCGTGCGTACATGTACAAGCGAGCGTGCGTGCATGCGCGGCGGCGGGAAGGCTGAGCCGTATATAGAGAAGGCTCTGCGGGAAGGCAGTGGGTGATGTCGCGACAGCTGTGATGATGATGGTGATGATGATGACGATGTTGATGATGATGGTGATGATGATGCTTCCAGCGATGATGATGATGATGATGATGATGATGATGATGATCGTGATGATGATGCTTCCAGCGATGATGATAATGGTGATGATGATGATGATGATGGTGATGATGGTGATGATGATGATGATGATGGTGATGATGGTGATGATGATGATGATGATGGTGATGATGGTGATGATGATGAAGATACCAGCGATGATGAGATATTTGCATAATTATGACGTCAGCAAGTTTTCTCTCAGCGATTATGTTAAAGTAGAGAGATAGTCGGATAAGTAATTTGCCGCTGGCGATACTCGTCGCTATGGCAACGATCTGCTTTTAGACGGCGGAACGGGAAGTAGAGAGGAGTAAACCCGGAGGAAAATTCGAGCAAAAAACGCGGGAAGTTCCACGCGCCATTTTACTTCTATTTTTATTGTTATTATTATTATTGTTGCTGTTTTTTTTATCTTGCGTTATGATATTATAATTGTTATGTTTACTTAAATTCTTCTTATTTTATTTTTTATTTATATTATTTGTACCACGTATATAATGCGTTGATAATCTGTGTATTTCAGACACCGCCCAGGCTGATCTATCTACACGATCAGTGGCCGCAGACGGGAGCATGGACGATGTTGCCTATAGTCTCTAGGTATGCTAGCATAGCCCCCTTAGTCCCTTACATAGCGTGGTTAGCTGTGTGTGTGTGTGTGTGTGTGTGTGTGTGTGTGTGTGCGTGCGTGCGTGCGTGCGTGCGTGCGTGCGTGCGTGCATGTGTGTTGTTGGGATGGATGGGGTTAATACGAACAACCACACTCCCTAACACTAAGCTCGTATTACAGTCGCCTCGCTTTATCGGGACAGAGCGGCGAAACCGCGAAAAAGTCCCGATTAAGCGGTGTGTCCCCATTAAACGGTGCGTCCCGGTTAAGTGGTGTGGGAACACTCAACATTAACGCATGTGAGTAAAGTATAGAAATGAACCAACACACGTAAATATTGTTTTTACACGTTACATTGTAAGATTGACTTTGCACATCTTAAGCAGGGTTTACACTACCGACTTTGTGTTGGTGAATTGGCGAATTGGACCAACTTCCCAACTAGGCAACCGACAATCGGCAGTGTGAACGCAAAAGTTGCGCGACCAACCGATCGATAGCAAGTAGTTGGGAGATTAGAACATGTTCTATTTTCGCCAACTCGGTGTTGCCGAATTGCGAAATTGGTCCAACTCGCCAATTCACCAACACAAAGTCTGTAGTGTAAACCCAGCTTAAGATGTGCAAAGTCAATCTTACAATGTAACATGTAAAAACAATCCGCACTGAGCTTTGGTTCATTTTTATATAATTTTCTCGCAGTAAATCTTACAATGTAACGTGTAAAAACAATATTTACGTGTGTTGGTTCATTTCTACACTTTACTCGCATGTAATCTTTACACCTATGTCGTTGTATGCGTGCGTTCACCGGCGTGTTTCGCGTGCTGTTGCAGTCTGGTGCGGACACACATGAGGAACGCAACGTGGTTGTTCATCTGTGAGGAAGAGACGCGGGTGCACCTGCCGCGCCTCCTACACACGCTCTCACGATACGATGCGAAGAAGGTAGGTGGCAGCACCGGCGACACGCGTCCGCGCGAGCCCGCGATTACGGTGGTAGTCACGTGACGTCGGGCGGCGTCGTCGGTCGTCACGTCTGTGTATGACATGCTTGCTTATTGTCATCTACTGCCATACTGCTGCTAGCTGCTCTGCATCTGCTGCTGGTGCTGCTCTGCGCTGCACTAAACAATAACGACAATCTAAAAATAAAAAATCAAATAAAAATACAAAGCAAAAAAAAAAAACAAATAAAAACTAGAGATAATACTATCAAAAAAAAAAGAAAGACAAACTGAAAATATAAAAAATAAAGAACTGATAAAGAAGATCACTTAAAAAACAAAGAAAAAACAGAATCTAAAAAAGCTAACTACTGAAAAACTAAAACTACTACTGACTTTCCACTAAAAAAAAAAAAAAAAAAAAATAAAAAACCATAAAAAAAGAAATAATATCTTAAAAAGAAAACCTCAATGAAAAAAAAGAAGAACTAACAAAAAAAAAAAGACACTAACTAAAAAAGAAGAAAAACTACTACTCGCTGCTGCTACTTCATTGTTGACTGCTACATGCTACTGCTGCTATTGCTACTACTACTACTGGCTGCTACCTGCATCCTACTGCCTACCGCTGGCTGCTGCTGCCTGGCTTACTGCTGCTGCTCGCTATGCTGCCTGCTGCTGCTGCTGGGCTGTGCTGCTGCTACTGCTGCTGCTCTCGCAACAGAGACTCGCGAATCTTAATGGCAGTCTATCCGCGCAATTTTCGAAAATCGGCCGAAAAGGAAGACCGCCGCATACCAATGGTGCGTAATATGCAATTCCAGCGAGGAAATCTTGATTTTGATTACAGCAAGCAGCCGTCCTGTATAGACGCGCCACATATGCGCAGCAGCACAGCAGCAAAGCAGCCAGTGTGATGCAATCAATGAACAGCTGTAAGCATCATGCGTGCCAGGCAGGGTCACGCGGCGCGTTGTGTGTTGATCACCTCTCGCACAGCTCTCCTCCCGCAGTCCTCATTCTCCAGCATCCCATCCTCCCCGCATCCTGCAGCCTCCCGCATCCTCATTCCTCTGCCCGCATTCCCTCAGCCTCCCGCATCCCTCAGCCCCCCGCATCCCTCATCCTCCCGCATCCTCAGGCCTCCTCGCATCCCCGCCCCGATCCTCCTTCTCCCCGCATCTCTCATGTCTGGCCGCAATCCCTCAGCCGCTCCCACCCGCATCCCTCATCCTCCGCATCCTCACTCCTCCCCATCCCTCAGCTCTCGCGCATCCCTCATTCCTCCCGCATCCTCAGCCTCCCGCTATCCTCTAGCCTTCCCGCATTCCTCATCCTCCCGGCATCCCTCATCCTCGCTCCCGATCCCTCATCCTCAACCGGTATCCCTCAGCCTCCCGCGCATCCCCTATCTTCCCGCATCCGTCTCAATGCTCCCGCATCCCTCATCTCACCGCAGTCCCTCATCCCCCGCATGTCTCTCATCCTTCTCCCATCCTCCAGCCTCTCCGCAGTCCTAATCCTTCCCGCAATCCCCCCTCATCCTCCCCGCATCCCCCTTCATCTCTCGCATCCCGGTCATCTCGCGGTCCGCATCCTCATCCTCACCGCATCCGCTCAGACCTCCGCGCATCTCCTCAGGCCTGCCGCATACCCCTCATCCTCTCGGCATCCGCTCATCCTGACCCGCATCCCCTCATGCCTCCGCTCGCATCCCTCATTCCTCGCCGCATCCCTCATCCTCCTCCCGCGATCCCTCAGCCTCGCCGCATCCCTCAGCCCGCGCATCCTCAGCCTCCCGCATCCTCATCCTCCGCATCGCCCTCATCGGCCGCAATCCCTCATGCCTCCGCGCATCCCTCTCAAGCCTCCCGCATCCCTCATCCTCCCCATACTCATCCTCGCCGCATCCCCCAGCCCTCCCGCATCCCTCCAACCCTCCCCGCATCCTCAGCCTCCCACCCCCCCAACCTCCCGCACCCTCCAGCCTCCCGTCATCCCTCAGTCCTCCTCGCATCCTCATCCTCCGCATACCCCCTAATCCCTCCGCGCATCCCTCAACCTCCGCATCCCTCAGCCTCCGCGCATCCCCTCAACCTCCCCCATCCCCTCAGCCTCCCCGTATGCCCTGCAGCCCTCCCGCACTTCAGCCTCCTCTTGTGCTTCCTGTCGAACGGAGCGCGCGGCTGATCTGGCGTGAAATCCGTACATTCGCATCACAATGACAGCATCATTCACCGATATCTCCGACGTGAGGCGATCAAATATCTGAGCCTGCTCGCCCTGCCGCGTGTGGCTGTGTGTGCCGCGCGCCTGGCGTGCGTCGTGCGCGCGCGCAGGCGCCGTGCCGTCGCGTCGCTGCGGCGCGCGAGCCGTGCGTGCGCCTGTGTGTGCGTCGTAGGCGTGTTGTGCGTGCCGTCGGTGTGTGTGTGCGTTGTGTGCGTGCGTGCGTGCCGATGTTCGTACTTGCGCGTGTGCGCCGCGCCGCGGCGCCCGCGTGTGTGTGTGTGTGTTGTGTCGTGTGTGTGTGCGTCGCGTGCGCTGCTATGGTGTATGCGTGCGTCGTGTGTACCTGGTGCGTTTTGTGTGTGCTGTGTGTGTGTGCCGTGTGTGTGTGTATGTGTGGTGTGTGTGTGTGATGTAGTGTGTCGCCTGTGGTCGTGTGGTGGGTGTGTGTGTGGTTCGTGTGTTATGTGATGTGTTGTGTGTGTGTGTGTGTCGTGCTGTGGTGCTGTGTGGTGTGTGTGTGCGCGCGCCGGTGTGTGTGTTGTGTGTGTAAGCGTACTGCGTGCGCTGCGCGCGCCGTGCGGTGTGGTTGGCGTGCGCGTGGTGTGTGTGTTGATCGTGCGTGTGTGTGTGTGTGTGTGTGTGCGTGCGTTGCGTGCGCGTGTGTGTGTGTGTACGTGCGTGTTGTGTGTGTGTGTGTTGTGTTGCGTGGTGTGTGTGTGTGTGCGGTGGTGCGTGCGTGTGTGTGTGCGGTGCCCCGGTGCGTGCGTGCGTGCGTGCGTAGCGCGTGCTGTGCGTGTGCTTGCGTGTGCGTGCGTGGTGCGTACGCTGTGTGTAATGTGTGTTGTGTGGCTGTGTGTGTGTTGATGTGTGTGTTGTGTGCTGTGTGTCCGTGGCGCTGCGCGTCGCGGAGTGCGCGCTGTCGTTTGTGTTCGTAAGCGTACGTCTGTGCGTCCGCTGCCGCGCGCGGCGTGTGTGTGGTCGCGCTGCGCCGTCGTGTGTCTGTCGCTGCGTGCCGCTTGCGTGTCGCTGTGTGTGTGTGTGTTGCGTGCGTCGCGTCCGCGCTGGAATGCGTCGTGTTTGTGGTGTGTGTGTGGTGTGTTACCAGCCGTCACCCTGCGCGTGGCGGTCGTGCGCCGCGCCGTGCGTGTTGGTGTGTGTGTGCCCGTGCCGCCGTGTGTGATGTCGCGTCGCGTCGCCGTGTGCCGTGCGTCGGTGTGTGGTGTGTGGTGTGTGTAGCGTGTGTGGTTGTGTTTGTTGTGTTTCTCTTGCTCATGTACGACTCTCCACTACTGAAATGCATTTCCCCCTGCACGCTAACTCTCGCAGCTAAATTAAGCGGAAAGGAGAAGGGGATACAATCAGAGGATAACAGATGGGCAGGGAGAGGACGGAGAAACCAGGAGCTGACCAGGCGAGTGGAAAGGAGCAAAAAAAGAAGCGGCGAGACTCCCCGGGCGGGGGGGAGCTGTGATTAATCCGCCTGAGAGGCGCAGCCTTCGTGGTGGTATACCACCTCACTCGTGTGCGTCGAGCAGAGAGGGAGCAGCGTAGTGGGAGCAGAGAGAGCAAAGAGCATTAAGGAGACGATGATGAACGAGAAGAGAGGAAGAGCGAACGACAAACGGAGCAGAGAGAGAGAAGAATAGAGAGAGAGCAGAGCGACGAGAGAGAGAGAGAGAGAGCGAGAGAGAGAAAGAGAGAAAGAGAGAGAGAGAGAGAGAGAAGAGAGAGAGAGAGAGAGAGAGAGAGAAAGAGAGAGAGAGAAGAGAGCGAGAGAGAGAGAGCGAGAGGAAGCGAGAGAGAGAGAGAGAGAGAGAGAAGACGAGAGAGGAGAGAGAGAGAGAGAGAAGAGGAGAGAGAGAGAGAGAGAGAGAGAGAGAGAAGAAGTGAGCGAGAGAGAGAGAGATGAGTGAGGGAGAGAGAAAGAAAGAGCGAGAGAGAGGAGAGGAAGAGAGAGCGAGAGAGAGAGAGAGAGAGAGAGAGAGAGAGATGAGAGAGGAGCAACAGAAGCAGTCGGGTAACGTCGAGCATTACGAGACGGGCAGGCGGTTCGGATTGGTAGTCCGAGGGCGGAGACTGTTCTTCTGCCTTCGCAGCGTCGCCTTCTCTTAGTTTAGAAGCGTCAATATTTCACAACACGTCAATTAACAACAACTGTCACACGTAAGCACAAGTAGCGACACCCACAATGCAGGCAGGAGGCTTACCTGATCCGTCACCGCCTCGCCACTGCTTTATTATACCTGTAAGTGTCAGCGCTTCGCTAGTTATTGAGCGACTGCACTCTCGTTGCTTACAGTTATTACCCTGTAATGCCTGCAGCTCTTATAGTTAATACATCTGAGCGGCAAGTCACGCGCTGTGGGGTTTTAAGAATTATTACGCTCGAGACTGGTCGTGCTCCTTCGCTGGATTACCCATGCATTGTCACGCTCGTTGGCTGATGCGCTGACTCTTTGCTAACTGGTTGTGGCACCTCGTCTAAGTCACTGAATATACCGCCAACATCTCCAGCAACCACCCACATCCCAGCATTCCACCATCCTAGGCATCCCATGCATCCTAACGCATCCAGCAATCCCACACATCGCCGCATCCTACACGCATGCCCGACGCATCCTCAGCATCGCGTCAGGCATCCCCGCATCCTTCGCATCCTGCCTAAGCAGGCTATGCCGCAGCATGCCACCATCCTAGCATCCAGCATCCAGCATGCGCCAGCATCCACACATCCTAGCATCCCATGCAATCTCACACATCCCCGCATCCTACATCCCACACATCGCCGCATCCTAGCATACCTAGCATCCGCACACATCCGCCGCATGCCTAGCA